GAGGGGTTTTGGCCACTTCCAGGCTGGTCTTAGCTGGTCAGGCTGGGAGATTACCAGCTAAAACCAGCTTGACCAGCTAAGACCAAGCTGGAAATGACTGGAAACCAGCCTGGAAATGGCCAAATCCCCTCTAAAACCAGGCTGGTCAACCAGCTAAAACCAGCCAACCAGCCTAGGCTGGTTTAAGCTGGATTTTGCAGCAGGGTTATGCTAGATTGTGTTGTTCTTCTAATCGAAGATATTTTGAAGAATGCCGAAAACCTGTAACCACTGACATCCGTATCAAACACCAAGCGAGTCAATGGATTTCAGCATTCTTCAAAGCATCTTCTTTTGCGTTCGACAGAAGAACAGAACAACTCAAAGGTTTGAAACAGATGAGCAAACGATGACAGAGTTTTCATTTTGGGTCAATTTTTCAGGCGGAAACGAGCATCACGCATTTTCACTGCCATCTTTACGTTGACACATTTATTCGGTTCAGTGTGAGGCGATAACATTCAGCACATTTTATCGACAGCTGCTCACCGAGAATGAGTCTGGCAAACCTAAGTCTAAAAGATACATCCAACAGAAAATATCCATGGCATGAAACAAAGTCACAGATCGGTTATGCAGGAGCGCTCTTCGAATAACTTCATCGCATTGAAACCACCGAACTCAGCTCAATATTAGACCAGGCAGGGTGTAAACAAACAGGTCTCAATTAAAGGGAGAGCGCAGGTATTATTTTTACGCTTGTATCAGCAAGAATAAAGGGAAAATTCTGGCAAAAATGAAAACTCACTAAACTTGAGTTTCTTCTGTTAAGCACAACATGAGGTATTTTGATAGAATGATCACATTAATAGTAGGAACAAAACTACTATGGTAGTCAATGGCTGTTTTCTTCCTTCAGCATATCTTAAATCGTGTTCAACAGAAGAAAGAAACAAGTAAGAGATGAGTTAAATGATGACAGAACTGCACCTTTAAAGCAGGGGTGCTACAATCCTGTTCC